GTCTCCATGTGCTCCGTTGTGGGGCAGGACTGAAGTCCAAGAAACTCTTAGGAGTCAGGCTGCCAAACACGGTCACCCATCCGAGGACTCTCCGTGCCCAACGTGCTTAACTTCAACTGATTTGTGACCTGAGCACCATGCACAGAACCACACACCTACACGTGTAATAACAAGAACCATGTTATAAATCACAGCTCTCATATATGGCGAGTGAGTGCGTGAGTTTAGTTTTACGCCGCTTTTAGAAATATTCCAGCAATATCACGTCTGGATACGCCAGAAATGGGCTTTACACATTGTACCCATGTGAGGAATCAACACGGGTCTTCGGTGTGACGGGCGAACGCTTTAACCACTATTCAACTCCACCACCCTCTGATATATGGACAATCTGAGGGTACCTTTTCATTATGTATCTGACTGTATTCGTTGGTACCCGTATATCTACTGATATCTTTTAATTGTCCCGATATATAGCCTACTGGGTACCTCAGAGAGTCTCCGATGCCATTGATTCTTTATATCTACTGATGACTAATCTTTTTGGCACCTGAAGTTGCACCTTTTTAATTCTCCCCCTTAAAGAAACAATGTTGTTATGCGTATGCCAGAATAATAGACACCTTTTACACTTTTCGTTTTGCATGAGATATGGATCGAAATATAAGTTGTTCACTGTGTCGAGGGGGACATGGGTACCGAACACCTCAATGGTAATTTTGAACTGTTTGAAGCACGGGTATCGAATCATAGCATGGAGTGCCAGACGACAAGAAAAACAAATTTAGAGTTATCTCCCTTCAATCGACTTGCATTTGCAAAACATCGGTAATTTCCGTACATCATACGTGATGCAATGTTATTCGAGATAAAGAATTACTACTACGAAGTACCAAATGAGTCCGGCATTCCCAGCGGGGAACATATAAATTGTTACTCGCTTATAAGCGGGGTACATTGAAAATAATAGAAGAGCGCTCAGCCAATCAGAAAACGACATTTATGTGTGATGCAAGATAAACACTGATGTTCACGTATATACTCCTGTGTGTTGGCAGACGGATCACATATCGCTATCAACAATACTTCATGACAAAGAAAATATAAGGATTTTCGCTCTGAAACCATTACAAATCAATTCAAATGATTCCGTGGTATCACATCATTAAACCAAGCTAATGTTTTTGGGAAGCTTAAAAAGTAGGCCATTGTCAATAACGTACCACTAGTTTATGAATGGCTGATGTTAAAATGGGTGTGGCTTTAGTAGCATCGTTGCGCTGTATGATATTACCCATTTCAAACAATGTACATTTTTTCGGGTTTAATGATTAAACAAGCAGTCTGTGAAGCTATAACGGTTGGATGACGTATGTTGTTGCAAGACTTAACACCAGTATTTGTCTGACGGTGTATGCATGGTGCTAGGAACGTTTGATGTGCACACCTTGCTTGAATCCGCTGTTCCGCTATACGGTCTTTCACAGCATTCGCACGGTATTTGACGTTTACACCTCCATAAACACAACTTAAAGACACATTGTAGTCAATTCTTAAATAAACTACTGAGCATGCACCTCGCTGGCTTATTCAGACATGTCATTTGTGTCTAAACTGATTGTACAAGCTGGAATTAAATCTTACACCGTCACTTGCGTCACCACACTGCCCTACAGGTACCACCAGCAAGGAAGTAGAATCAACTGTGAGGCTCAACCAATATTTGCTCATACAATATTGGTTATAGGAAATTGATAACCTCCCCATCACTTCGGGCGTAAATGCATCAAGTGTATGGACAAGCAGAGGGTAGCTAGATCGCACAGGCCCTAACCGCAATGATGTTCTGTTCAAGAATACGACGTCAAGACTTTATATATGTGTGAGAGCACACAATGATTAACATGCACACTTCTCAAGGGTATGAAACCGTCCATGAAAAAATTCGTCACATGTTTGAGTCCATGGGTACAAACTGCTAGTTATATTAAGGAAGTTAAATACGTGCTCTGTGTATGAATGGATGTGTGTATTTAAGAATTATCAAATAAGTGATAATCCAAGTGTCATTCTGAATATTGTTCTGAATAATCCCCATATTTTTCAGATGAAATCAGAAGCCTTTCTGATTTTTCGATAGGGGTTATCTTTACAACCACTTATCAAATAATTTGAACATGGCAATGAGCGTGACAATTTGAAATACATATGATTCAAGCCATCTGATAATTTTCAGGTAATATATGACTCAGATTTATGACCCCTTAAATGTGACATCATACACGAACTCATTTTATTCAGATTAATTGGGTCTACACCATATAAGAGCAATGTAAATTACCACGTTATATGTCATACGCAACATTTCATCATACCTTGGACTGAAACGTAGTTGTCTTGGAATGAAAAAACAAATATGCTCCTGATGGCATTTATCCGCTGACATACGTATCTGAAGGCATACTTTATTGGGTAAACAGTCGATGACGACATCAATAACTCATCACTTGGTGACTCATCACCACGAGAAATTGCAGCTGAAACCTTGCCCCCAAAAATGTTTGGTCTTAACAAACTTTGTGTGGTATAACAATATTATACTGTGTCGTTTTATTCGGATGTGTGTCGGTGGAAGGAGTATTGCAGAATACGTTACAACGTATTCCAAGTGGCATTATACTCAACTCACTCTGTCACGGAACAAGGTGGACAGAATTACTATCCTCGTTATGTACACTTGGAAAAAGCCGAAGCTCCATCCCTTCCTTATTTTCACATATCTCGTTCCGTGTAAATATTTAAAATATATTAAATATTTACAATATTTACAAATGACATTGTTTCGTCTAATATTTAAGATAAGGCTTAAGTGAGCTTGCCCATTCTATTTAGATATAACATGGAGTAAAATTTCACCAGAAAAAATCATCATATTTCTGGAGACGGTCGCAGATACTCAGACAGAACATATGGTACAACGAAGCAAAGGTTGTGGCTGAAAGGTTAGTCAGTTAACCATTGCTATGATGCAGTTGCAAAACACGTCATTAGAAAATCGATTTCGTTTTTGTCTTTTTCCTGCATTCAGCATGTTACTTTCCGTCAGAGAGTTTATACACTCTAAAGCTGATTCTATATGGAAATATATAGTAAACGGTGTATAATACGTTTCAAAGTATATTTGAAGAATGCTGAATACTCATTTAGGATTCTGTTATGTCTGTGTATGTAGATAAGGCATATCTGGTGCAAATGATGCATTCACAGATGAATGGCCCTAATTGATATGAAGTACACTAAAGTGGGTTTCGGAGGACACTTAGAAGATGGTACAATCGGGTCTACAATCAACTAGCAAAAGAGTGAGTTAAAATTTATCGTCACATCGGCAATATTACAGTCATATTGTGACGAGAGAACCTTATATATCAAAAACAAATATTACAAAATATAAAAAATGGGCCACAGATCCCCAGCAACTGATGCCAGCAAATGAACCCAACACACACACACACACACACACACGCACGCACGCACGCACACACACACACACACACACACACACACACGTATATCACGCAATGACACAAAACACATATAAATGGGACATTGGAAATATGTAATACTGTGACAACTTGAAATACCATTCAGTGTGCGTTACAACCATGTGAAGAATGAGAAAATAATGCTTTTGCTCTGTCTTACAAAGAAAAAACCAAATCAATAAACTGCCAGCTATAGAGACGAAGAAACATCAATTCAGGTACAACAACCATGTGCTGCAGGCACTGACTGTGTTTTTCAGAGGCAGAGATCAAACGTCTTGAAGAATTGTGTTTCTTCTTTAGATATTGTCCATTCGCTAGTACTGCCACTACTATGTAAGGTAAGCCAGTGAATCGTTCACTCATGGCATGTTCTACAGAATTGTGACCTTAGTCATCAGGATACGTGGTGTTTTGTGTCAGATGTAACAGCTTCTGATTAATGGACATCCACTGGTCTGTGTTCATAATAGTTATTTTTTTCTGACATACGTAGTTTTAAAATGTAACTTTAATTAACTTTCCTTTTCAAAGGAGAATTGGATCCGTGAGCATTTTAGAGCTGGTAGTACGTATTATCCCCCGCGCCAAATAATCAGTTTACTGTAGTGAGTCATTGTATTTAGACTTTTACATTAAATAGAAGTAACGAATAGAGTAATGGAATAGAGTATATAACATTTCCAATACCTAGCCAAGTTCATACATCAGGCATCATGTCCTTTTATGCTAGTGTACTCGCATCTTATGTACGTGCCATGACAACCCACTGATGACCTGATACAGCGTCTAGAAACGAGGATATATAACGTCTGTCTTTCGCTATTTGACGGTCCACTGCAGTCATTTACTTCAGTGATAGAATGACTTATTATGTGTTTCAAATGTAATCCGGACACACGAAACTTTGAGTACAATTTAATCAGTGTGGACCACGCTCTTTTGGCCAATCTTCTCCTTTCAGCTGAGTTTTACATGAGTCATTAAAATGTAAAGTCACTCACTCATTCATAAAAACAAACTCGTTTTTCTGTCGGTTTACCGAATGAGTAAGTTCAAAATAATCACTATACTGTCTACAACATATTGAAAATGTCTTCCTTAACTACTGCTTTTGATAACCGGATTGCGTCATTTCAATATCTCAGAGTCTAATTAATGTAAAGATTAAAAAGGACCTAAAACAGGACAATTCGATATCGTGCCTGAATTAAGCAATATCAATAAGGAATGCGAGTTGGCTGAGTTAATACTTGTGCCTTGCAACTGTGTTATTTCTGTACTGGTTATCAGAAGTAGATTCCCTACAACAGTCGATATTCTGCTACGTAAATATAGCTCATCTGTTCGCCTGCTTTCACCAATCCCGATAATTAGCCGTTTGACCAAGATTCCACATGACATGTTTGTAATGCAAACAACAAGGTACAATCAAATACATCGTTTTGAACTCACCTCATAAACATGACCACACCGACCCTGGCAATGTCTTTTTGAATGATCTGCCAAGTGTCAAGCACAATCTCTTTCTGTCTCTCTGTGAACTCGGGTCGCTCTTCAGGTAAACCACGAGGGGATGGGACAGCCTGCCCCTCCCCAGTATCCTGGGGGAGGTATTTCTTACCGCTCCCCCTTGACCGTTTGCTATCTGAACGTATTGTCATAGATTTGAGTTTCTTTGAATTAAAACATCCCATCATTTTCAAGGCAGGTTGTCCGCTGGACGGAAAACTGTATCAGCAATGTGTATCCACGTGGTGTACACCACAACGTCCGATGTCAGGTTCACAGTCACATCATAGTGACAATTAATCTTCAAATACCACCATTGAACAAACACCGGTATTGATCAAAACACGCGGTTCCTACGTCAGGCTCGCACAGAAACACACTGTGTCATCGCCGTCTTCTCACGGCAATAATAAAGCGATCTCCCTTACCGACTCCACGTTATGGGTAAAATGGATACACTTGACAGCAGCACAATACGATATGATTTGCTATTTCGCTGGTCCTTCAAACCTTCGCAGAGTAATAAACATGTTCAGCGTCATCCCATTACCGCATTAACTCGACCACGACATAATAAACTCGGACCTACTGTTTGCCGTTGCTTGGTAACTTAAGCCGTTTTTCAACAAAACAGACTCTCCACGAAAAGTTGAACATCCGGTATATTAAACCAGCGATCAGGGAGACATGTTCAAAGAAAATGACAGCTTCTTTTGTTTCAAGTTCACATGCAGCAGCATCGGTCCATCGTGACTACAATCCTTCAAGTGGCAGGCAAGGCTTTCTCCTAGCGGTTGGTTGCATACCTGTGGCACTGAACGAGACTCGGCTCCATTACTCCGGCAACGCTATCAAATAATGTCGTTCTTTCTTCACGCGGCAATTCCAGCCGAAGAACGTGTTCTCGGAAACCAGCCCCTGCCTGCCCGCTGTTGTTAATACCCAGTAGTGGCATCTGCCAGGTCACCCGGCCTTTAGATTGCCTTGGGCAATACCGACTTGTTTACCTGTTGCTGTGCACGCAAGGTTTATATCCCACCTGTGGATAAGGTCATCATTTAATTCGCCGACCTCCTTCGTAATAAACCTGGGCGGCGGGTGCAGGCACGTCCGGATCTGTTCCAGGCCTAGAAATTCTTCGAGACCTGCTTTGAACGAAGATAGGGAAATTGATAAACTTAACCAAAGTGTGAATCAATTTACACGAGGTGTGGTGTTAACGCTGCAGCGCCCATGTCTACTGGAAGGTTGGAATCAACAGGACGCACGCCACATGGCTACACGCAATTACGTTCAAGATGGAAGAACCCTTAGAAAGTATCCGAAACGTGTCCCTGGAAACCAACTAAGGTTTTAAATGTCCACCTGATACTTCTTTCCTCGGGCCTACTTACGTCTCTGCACTTCCAGCTGAGTGCAGGAATGATGGTCCCGTTCTGGTTGTTTCTGGTGCTGACTATGCAAAACATAGTGGCAATTTTATGAATATCATAACGGTGGAATCAACATGTCTCAATACAGTCGAACCTTCTTCTATACGTATTATTGATATTGACAAATTCGGCTTCGGTGCTTGTCCTCGAAGTTGGCACCTCTACGTTCGATCAATATTCGCATTCAGAGGTTGACGGACAACTGCTGTGTTTTAATGCCCAGGTTTATTATTGAGTTTGGGCGTCCCTCAAAGCGGCCATACATATTGCTCTTACGGAATGATGGAATATGAAAAACAACAAGTAATAGCATTGTGAGCTAAGAGCAGTTAAGCATGGCACGTTCAAATTCATTACATTATATTTGAGAGGGGCAGCTTTTAAAACATTCATTCGGGCCATCATTACACGGAACAGAAAACGGTCACAAGTTTAGTACACCCTGTCATAAGATTTCTTAGCACCCCTACCCACTATGTTTAATGACGATATCAACATGCGGTCAACGGGCATGAGACTCTTAATACTTTTTTCTGCACTTTTTGAAGGAATTGCTTTTAACATCATGACGGACAGTATGAGTGAATGAGTGTGTTGAAATTAAGCCTCAGAATTTCATGTTGGGAGGCGTTGTGGGTATGTTGTTCGATTCTGGAAGCTAAGGAACGCAGGGTTTAGTGTTCAAAGGCTTGATCGGGGCCAAGTAGAGATGCGAATCAGCGAACTGTGGTTCTCAACGAATTGTGCTGTCTTATGCCATTGTTCTATTTGTTCCGGAACGGAGGGCACTCAGTATAGTTATTATGTAAGTGATTGAATAAGCCCATGAAATCCAAACAGGACGGGACAGAGTAGGAGTGGAGATGTGGTCGCGATAGGTCCGGCTATCACACCGTCTATTACGCACGGAACCTTATCAGCATCCAACCGTTGATTGTTGATAATGATAAACATGATAATTAGCAGTAGTACGAATGCAAAAGCTTTCTCTCTTCCTTCACACTGGTTCATTTTAACGCTCGTACCTAAAGACCGTTCCTACGAATGGTTAAACAATGGTAATATCTATGACCTCCAATATGACATGCCGTCGCAGAAATGTGTACAAGTATACATTGAACCCACTTGAAATTGAGGGGGTGGGGTAGCCTTGTGGTTAAAGCGTTCACTCGTCACACCGAAGAGTCGGGTTTGATTCCCCAGACGGGTACAATGTGTCAAGCCCATTTCTGGTGTCCCCCGCCGTGAAGTAGCTGGAATATTGCTAAAAGTGGCGTAAACCCAACAGTCACTCACTCACTCACTTGTAATTACTGGGAACACTTTGGCAGATATATATTTCATATCATAATATACGTAATCCCATGAAAAATTGTAATCCACTATTTCATTCTTGAAAAGCAACATATCTGTGGGGAAACTTCTGAGGCTTTTTTTCGAATTATTTCGACAGCATGTTAACACGCACGTGGATACATAATTGGATCATTTCGACACACTTGACCCAGATACTATAACAAGTGTCAAATCGCCTCCTCAACCACTGAAATGCGACGGACTTTAATCTTCTTACACTGATGTTTCCGATACCGATCTACGCCCAGGCCGAATAATCAATCGTTTACGAGACTAATGATTGATCCGACTACATTCGCCAAGAATATGTAAACTTACAAATATTCGAATGCTACAGCTCAAACCTGTATAAATGGTTTGTTTTAGGGATGAATACTATAATAAAAGATGAACTAACATGCACATTTTCCAAAGCTCCAACGTCAGCTTAGAACGTGTTCGACCCGTGAACATCCGGGTTAGAATTGATCTTCAGTAATCTTTATTTGTCGTAAGACACGACTAACGGGATCGGGTGGTCAGGCTCGCTGACTTGTTTAACACATCTAATCGTACTCCAACTGCGTAGTATGATGCTCATGCTGTTGATCACTGGATTGTCTGTTCTAGGCTCGATTTGTTACATACCGCCGCCATATAGCTGGAATATTGCTGAATGCGGCGTAAAACTAAACTCACTCACTCACTTAGAACGTGTTCAGGTGACGTGTGTCATCCGGGTTGTAAACGTCACGTTTAACCGTTATTTATTTATGAAACATATGCCAACTACTCGCAAATAAAACTGACATTTGTACGGGAAATCTGTGTCAGATCGACCACCTAACTGACGTCCTATACTTGTAAAGTGAAACGTTGTCGTACTGAAAAGCTTGCTGACATTTCTAGATACGCAAATCCTCTATTTAATCAAGCTCAGTACTGCACTGACAAGTAGTCTTAGCGCATGATCAGAAATAATATGTGTATCATTCGGAGCTAATGCTGAAAGAATGTCCATACCGTTAAATTTCAGGAGAGTAGGCACAACGATTAAACAGTATTGTCTTGAGCACACATGGCTCTATTCGGTAGGTTGGGAACTGACAAACAGGCCTGAAAACATAACATCATCTCAATGACCTTTTACGGAATAGTCTCGGCTGAGCATCCACGCAATTCGAATCCATTCTCATAAATGCGACACTGTTCTTTCTATAGATTTCCATAATCGTAAGATATTTCCGCTAAAGGCAAAGTCAGTTTTACGATCCTGACTGTGTCACAAGCACGTGTGCGGGGATACCTGGTGTTGGGTGTGTTCTACACCAGATGTGCATGTTTTCTTCAAATATATCGCGCAAAATCAGATTCGCGTCCTTTTCATGATCAATGGACGTGCGTTTTCATACAATCTAATAAACGAGCTATTTCAATCCCATATTTATTCAGATATTTTAACGACCGGATATTAGGTTGAATGTAAAAACCTCCTATTATCTCCCATCCGAGTGATGGACTCAAGACGTCACAATGGACTTCCAAATGAATCCTACTAGTACATATGATTAATAGTTCTTTATGGTTAGGACGTTGCAATACATTTATCATGTACTTCCGAATTCTTCGCGCTATGCATTCTCGGGAAAGCTAATTTAAGTAAACATTGTCCTCTGTTCGCTATATGTATAGGTAGGTAGGTAAGTAGGAAGGTAGGTAGGTAGGTAGTTAGGTAGGTAGGTAAGTGGGTGGGTGGGTAGGTAGGTGGGTATGTGGGTGGGTTTTAGGTTGGCTGTCAGGTAGGTAAGTAGGTAGGTACGTAAGTAGGTAGGTACGTAGACAGGTAGGTAGGTAGGTACGTAAGTAGGTAGGTAGACAGGTAGGTACGTACGTACGTAAGCAGGTAGGTAGGTAAGTAAGTAGGTAGGTAGACAGGCAGGTAGGTAGGTAGGTAGGTAGGTAAGTAGGTAGGTAGACAGGTAGGTAGGTAGGTAGGTACGTACGTACGTACGTACGTAAGCAGGTAGGTAGGTAGGTAGGTACGTAAGCAGGTAGGTAGACAGGCAGGTAGGTAGGTAGGTACGTAAGTAGGTAGGTAGGTAGGTAGGTAGGTAGGTAAGTAGGTAGGTCTCAAGCTAACACACAACGATTTCTCAACGTTGTGACATTAAATTAAGAATGTGATAGCTTGTGGTTTCTGTGCAGGTGATGTTTACAGTGTTGACGTAGCATATTCACTTAAAGTACAGAACAGAGAGGAGTGCTGATTCCAACAACTGTGTCGATACGAAGGTATGCACGATGCAATAAAAAATGTAAACATCTTCCAGAATGAAAATAGTGAAATAAATTTTTTGCTTGAATTCAAATCATTGGGTTTGTTTTGCTCCTATGATCCAATGACACCAGACATCTCATTATTACCAGTGTTTGTTTATATAAAAACTAGATGTCTTGTCATTAGATGTTTATGTCATTTGGGTTTTATTTTCAGATGAGACATCAGAGGCACAGACAATTTTGCAGCTCTCACTCTTGCCCTCAATGTTGATTTCCTGGGGTAAGGCCAAGAAAAATTGTTTTCACATCATTGTGTTAGGCATTTTTGCAGGGCTTGTTGGTTATAAATTTGAAAATCAATTACTTTATAATCTTGTTTGAAATCATTTGTGATAAATATGGACTTGAATTTTTTTTTGAAATATGCATAATGTAGTAACTAATTGTTTTGAGAAGTATTTTAGATTTTCGTGAGACAAAAACTAGCTATCCTGAGGTGTTTCGAGGATAATGCCCAAAGTGAATACAGTTTGAAGAATGTATCGCATCAGATACGCCAGAATGCTACCTGTGGTATTACAATGTCACAACGTTGTGACAACATAAATAGGAGTGAACAGAATAACGTTGTATGGACGTACTATCATTACGGTCCCACAACGTAAAATACCACGTTATCGTAACGTTCTTATAATGTTGCCATAACATAACGACGACGTGAAAATGACGTCACGTCAAAACGTTGTGACATCATAAATGGGAGTCCACAGAATAACGTTGTGCGGACGTAATATATCAATGGGTTGTACGGTGAGTGCGTGTCTTCCACCACACAATGTGTTGTACGGTGAGTGCGTGTCTTCCACCACACAACGTGTTGTACGGTGAGTGCGTGTCTTCCATCACACACGACGTGGTGTACGGTGAGTACGTGTCTTCCATCACACACGACGTGGTGTACGGTGAGTGCGTGTCTTCC